CATTATATAAGAATGGGGGAAGTTCACGGAAACACCTGGCAGAAGAATATCTGATATTAAAAACCCCTTATCTGCTAGTATAATATCTCCTGCTTCAAAATGATGTAGCACTCCAGATTTCTCAACAATGGCTTCATCAGTTGTTGAGCCAGGAAACAGCTTGCTTACATAAGTAATGACAGCATTTGGTGCAACCCCAATGAGTTCATTCCTCTGTATGTTGAACAGATCAGTTTCTGTCCACTCATCGAGCCAGGGGCAGCAACCTCAATATCTGTGCAGTCAATTATCATTTTACAATGGCCAAATAATGAAAATGATTCAGGCATAGAGGATCTGTTCTTTTCCCTTGATGGCACAGTTTTTCAACAGCCCTAATAAAATCATAAAGCAGCTTGCAGCGTACATGAACAAGTGTCAGTATTATATTACTGATCGTTGAAGTGCTACAGTGAAAAAGCTGTTGTACTTTCATTAGGGTTATAAAAACCTGATCCTTCAACAAAACTTTGTCAACTTTCAGCCATCACTTGCAAACCGTCTTACATAATTTACAACGATAAAGAATATATCCTAATTTGTTAGGCCAGTCTCCACGCAAATTACCTCATCTTTTAATGATAATACAGAGAAAACTTCCCTCTGTTGATTTATAATCTTATTAATGTTTCTTATAATATGACGATAATGACAAAAACGAGCTTCCCTGAGTGTGAAACTGAATCAAACTTAAAGAACCTAACCTGTTGATGCAAAACATGGCTTAACTTTTCAATCTTTTATAGCTCTACAGTCGCATTGCATCAAAGCTGAAAAAGCAATGCCCTGACTTTGCCGAACCTTATGGTACTGATAAAGCACACATACACTGCCGCACAAAGTGGAAGTGCTTCAGTACATCTTTGCAATTAGGAGTTGGCTTACGCCACATATCTCCAAAATCCAGCAGCATAGTAGACTGCATGCCTTTAAATTTGAAAACTGTGACAATTCTATTGAACAATGTTTGATAGTTCTTTTTGAAAATATTTGAAAACAGACATCTTTATTGCATTAATCAGCTTATAGTGAGTAAATTGATATAAAGAATAAATAGGTGAAACTGTCATGAAATGAAGAAGTGACCTAGTCAGACAGTTACGCATAAAACAGATCCTGACAAAATGACTTTTTAAAAAATCTGAATGCAAGAAACAAAGCAAAACTAGTAACAAGTTGTCAAAAGTTCATTTTCTTTAAGATTTCTGAACTGTTAAGATATTTCAGTTTTTGTTCAAGCTTCTTGCTACATTTTCTGAACTAAATCACTATCATTACAGCAGCAAAAACATGAAAAAATAATAAAGCGTTGCCATTGTTCATAAAAAGTCACCGGCAGAATGAGTCTCCCTCTTGCTTTTTCTTCTAAACCTCTTTTGCGGTTCCTTTTTATTTTAATCAACTTCTTCTTGTTTTAGCTATATCATTGGAAGTTTTTCTTGCTATTTCCAACCTTTGCACTGATTTAATGGCTGATGATTTTCTTGTATGCACTGCAGCCTTTATGCCTAGCTGTTTTAAATGTTGCTCCTATTGGAAACTTGCAAGCTGCCATTGATACAGCTGTTTCCAGCGTATACCTTCTGACATAAATAATTTTAGAGAAAATTCTTCAAACAACACTGTGAAAAGATTCATTGCTATTTTGCTTCGATTCACAGGAAGATCTTTTCAGTAAATCTTCATTAGCAAGGCGTTGAAAAACTGTAACCATTTTCTTTACTACATCTGATGACAATGTAGCATGAGCCTTGTGACTTCCAGGGCTGTTGCATTTTGCAAGGTCTCTCTGCCAGAAACACCAAGATGTAGCACCAGGGGGACAATGATTATGCTTTGGGTTTGCATACAAAGAATTGCAAAAATCCGTTTCTTCAGAAGTGGCACATGATTTGAGTGTTCCTTGGCAGTTTTGCCATAACAATTTTGTATTCTTAGCACCATGTCCTTTGTCACCTTCCCTTTGCCAGAGATTGGACTGCCCTCTCTCTGCCTTTAAAGTATCAATTAGCTTTATTAGAGCAGTGCCCATCCTTTTAGAGACATGGTTTATACACTCCTCCTTTGTTATCTGCTTTTCCTTCCATACACATGCAAATTTGATACAGCCTTGAATGATTTGCTGTTTCCATCACAGAGCATGGTAACACAGCGCAATTTGTCTTTCTCTATTGACCTTCTCCACAGTCTCTTTGCACATTCCATCTTTATTGCATTTGAAGATCCATTGAAGTTTTTTGTGCAATTTGTTCCATACTTTTCTGCCTACACTATGATTTGCTCTGCATCTTCTGCGATCTTGCATTTTAAACAAAAATTTGACAGGACCACGAAATCAATAAGAAGGCCAGTTTCTAAATCAATAACTGAAGCCAGCCATTTTAGACATAGATGATATCATTTTGTCATTTAATAAGGGTTATTGAGGAGGTGTGACACCTCCACACACACCGGTCGCAACACCGGTTGTCTAATAAAACGGCGATAGTACGAAACCAATGCTACAGAACTAGGGATCTTGTTACAATTCTTAGGTGCGGGGTAGTTCTTAATGTAATAGCGATCTTATCTGGTTTAGGTTTGATGCCATCCTTACCCACATCATGACCCAAATGAAGTACTTCTCGCAGAAATGACATTTCTGTGGTTTAAGTTTGAGACCTTCAGTACAAAAACGATCAAAAACAGACAAACAAATTTCTAACATGTTATTCAAATGACTTTGAGTAAACTATAACATCGTCTGAAAACACCATACAACGTTGCCAGGGGAACCAACTTAGAACCAGTTGCATCATTTTCTGAAAAGTAAAGCTTGCATTAACAAGACCCATAGGCATAACCTTAAATTCAAAATTACCCTGTCTAGTACAGAAGGCAGTTTTTTCCATGTCATTAGGATCCATTTGAATTTGCCAGTATCCTGAAGCAAGATCAAACATTGTTAAATTTGCAAGGGTCACCTAAAGAATCAAGTACTTCGTCAATATGTGGCATAAGCAATATCTGTTTCTTAGTTATTAAATTTAATTTTTTAAAATCAATACAAAAGCGAGAAGAGCCATCTTTTTGGCAACAATTACTAACGGATGTGACCATGGACTTTTCAATTTTTGGATTATACCTTTATAAAGCATATCTTGTATATGTTTATCAACAGTATGAAGTTCTCTGAGGGATCCTATAAGGTTGTTGCCGGAATGGAGGGTGTTCAACTGCATCGATCTTGTGAGTAAAACAATGAGCTCTAACGAAGTCAGACTCAGATTAGTTGTAAATATTATATTCAAGCAACGATTTAATCAAAGATACCATCTCGTATTCTGATAAACTACAATTTGATAAATCAATGTTATCAATCCAAGAAGTAGAAGAATTAGAATTCAACTCACTCTTGACTTTTTCAATGTTTCCTTTGTCAATCATTTCTGCCATCCCTAGACAAGTTCCTGCAAATATTTTGACTGGGAAACTGTTAGTATGTGCAATTCTAACAGAGATTTGAACGTCATCAACATATGCAATACAGCAAGCAGGAAAAAGTAAAGATTCTTTGCTAGCTATCTCCTGCTTTGGTTCGACAAGGATGGTGCACTTACAAGAACAGCTTCACTACGCGCAGGCAGTTCCAAAGATTCAAAGACACACACAGGAACTTGGTTAGGGCCCTTAAGGACACTTACAAGGACATACTGCTGTCCTATCTTAATTTGTATGTTTCCCAAATCTAACTTTGCGCTTCACTTTTTAAGAAAGTTTGTTCCTAGCCAGAACGAATACTTGAAATCACAGACAACGTAACAATCAACGTACTATGCTATCACCCAAGTCTTACTCTACAGAGGTTGTACCTAGAACGTGAAGATCTTTGCCAGTAGGCGTTCTAGCTCTAATATTACACGGTTGCAACTCTAATACTGTTTTAGAATGTTTTGTTTACAAGATTTAGCAATTCTGAACTTAATATTGTAATGCCTGATCCAGAATCGATAAAAATATCTGTTTGATAATTTGTGACATTAGCATTGAAGGTGACACATCGGTATAGATTGGTTTGATCTACATTGTTACATTCATATGGGGATTTTTGAATTCACCATTAGCTGCATCACACCCCATTGGTGACAAGTGAGCAGCATTACCTAGTTCTTTGACTTCTTTAGACCAAACTTCTTAGTAGTACAGCTCCAGGCTCGATGTGTCCCAGTCTCCTTCAAAAATTACATATTGCTCGCCCATCATTGCTCTTAAGGTTACGATTGCTTGGCCAGTTTTGCCTTCTCCCATAATTTGGTAGTGCTGATGGGGGCTTGGATTTAGCTAGAGCAAAAGTTAGCAGGTCCTGGGTATGACTTTAAACTGCATCCGGTAGCAGGGTTCTGGTTCGGGAGATCCAGAGTTCTGGGGAGTATGGAGCGACCCCTTAACTGCTACTGCTCCCAGGTCCACTTTGACCCAGGGTGGTAGTACCTGACAGGGTCCCATGTATGGGTCAAATACGCCCCATCTATGGGTTAAATAGACTGGTACTGGCAGCAGGGTACCAGTAGTTCCAGTTGATGGAAGAGTCTTCAGGGACCAACAACTTTTGGAGCACGTGGTCGGGCAAGAGATCCTTCAGGACCTTGGCCGAGCACACCGGCACGCAGTGTCACTGGGTACTCAAGGAGGGGAGATGGGCACCATTGAGTACTTCTTGCCTATTGAAACACCCATGGAATGACAATTAACTTCAACCTCATACCGGATCCGTCGGGGCTCAGGTCAACAACAGCCGCGCTGTCTCCTGGAGCCTCCAGGGGAGGCAGTGTAAAGTATGCGACTGGAGTGGAGGGTGTGGAGGGAAGGAGAGCCGGAGAGCCGGAGGAAACAGAAAAGTGGCGAAGGTAGAGACAGCAATTGGTACATGGAATGTCAGAACGTTGAAGGCATGTGGAAAAGCGGAGGTTTTAGTACAAGAAATGGACAGACTGAATTGGAACATCCTCGGCATATCTGAAATGAGATGGAAGGGCATTGGTGAAGGAACAACAGAAGAAGGACACAAGATTTGGTACATAGGTGATGAGAAGAAGCATGAAAGAGGTGTGGGATTCCTAGTGAACAAGAACACCAAAAACGCAGTGCTAGAATTCACACTGATCAGCGACCGAATAGCAGCAATCAAGGTGGTGGGGAAACCAATCAACATGACAATTGTGCAAGTGTATGCACCAACCAATGATTGCCGCAATGAACTTGTAGAAGAATTCTACGATGACCTGGAGAAACTGCTAAAAACCATTCCCAGAAAAGATGTGTTTATAGTGCAAGGTGACTGGAATGCGAAGATTGGAGCTGATGCATTCGCAAATTGGAAGGGAACTATTGGAAGATTTGGACTTGGAGAAACAAATGATAGAGGACTGCAGCTGCTGGAATTTGCCTCGTCTGACATCGTCTGACAGCTGCCAACACGCTGTTCAACCACAAAGCTTCGAGAAAATCAACATGGCACTCACCAGATGGTAGGACACACAACCAGATCGACTGGATATTCATTTCGAGGAGATTCATGACGGGAGTCAACAGAGCAAAGGCAAGAACGTTCAATAAGCCAGACATCGGCAGTGATCACGATCTAGTGATGATGACACTAAAAGTGAAGTTGAGTACAATCAAGAAGAACAAGTTGAGCAGAACAAGATTCGATATTGAGAAGCTGAAAGACCCGGAAGTTGCAGAATCTTATCAAGAAGAACTAGCAGGAAAGTTTGCACCACTGTTACTGCTCGACCAAGACCCACAAGACCTGTGTGATGTGTTCACTGACACACTGGAAAAAACTGCGGAGGAAAAATTAGGAAAAGCGACACCAATCAAGAAGCCGTGGATAACAACTGAAGTGCTGGAGGCATGTGATGTGAGGCGAGATAAGAGAAGGAGAAGACATCTAGGAGCAAATGATCTATTAGAGTATAGAGTTGCAAATAGAAAAGTGAGGAATGAAATCAACATAGCAAAAAACAAGTGGATCATCAGTCAAGAACAAGATATCGAAGAAAATCTAAGAAGGAACAACACCAAGAAGGCATACGAAACTGTAAAGAAGTTGTGTGGCTCATATATGGATGAAACCAAACGGAAACAAGCTGGCATAATTGAGGATAAAGATGGAACATTACTAACGAAGAGTGATGACATCTGTAGGAGATGGAAAAACTTTTCAACTACAACATCCACAAAGACCAGGAAGTGCTGAAAGAACAAGTCACGGAAGAACGTCAAGAATAAGAGACCATCTTGATGTCAGAAGTACGTAGTGCGATCCAGAAGCTGAAGAAGAACAAGTCGCCAGGAGCAGATAACATCACTTAGGAGCTAATCCAGAATGGAGGAGAGACAACATTCCTCTTAATGCACAAACTGTGCAATGAGATTTTGAAAAGCAAGCAATGGCCGCGCCAATGGACAGAATCTGTACTCATCACCATTCCAAAGAAGACGAACAGCAGGAGATGTACAGATTATCGTACGATTAGTCTAATTAGCCACGCCTCAAAAGTCCTGTTAAGGATAATCTTGAAGAGGTTGACACCAAGAGTGGAAGAAATACTGAGTGATTCTCAAGCTGGATTTAGAAGAGGAAGAAGTACTGTGCAGCAAATCACAACTCTGCGGCTACTGAACGAGAAAGCAAGAGACATGGGGAAGTTGATATTCCACAACTTCATTGACTTCCGCAAAGCATTTGATCGTGTGTGGCATGACGCACTTTGGCACACCATGAGAAAGTACAACATTGGAGAAGGAATGACATTGCTAATAAAGAGTTTGTATGATAGTGCTAGATCAAAGGTGTTAAGTGGAGATCAGTATAGTGAATGGTTCAAGACTAACATTGGTGTTAGACAGGGTTGTCTACTATCTCCGACCTTGTTTAACCTATTCTTAGAGAGGATAATGGGCGACGCATTAGAAGGTTATGAAGGAGGTGTGAGGTGTGCAGGGAGAAAGCTGATGGATCTAAGGATTGCAGACGACATTGACCTGTTAGACGAAACTGCAGAGGGTATAAACGAGGTTACAAGAAGGCTAGAAGTGGCTGCGAAGAGTTATGGAATGGAGATAAGTATAGAGAAGAGCAAGGTGATGGTAGTGGGAAAAGGAGACAATGTTGATGGTGTAGTGGTCAAAGTGACCGTAGATGGAGTAGTTTTGGAACAAGTGAAAACTTCACCTACTTGGGGTCAACGATAGTACAGGATTGAACATCGGTAAAAGAAATCCGGATTCGAATTGGTAGAGCAACGAGTGCATTGGCAAAACTTGAAAACATTTGGAAATCAAAAGATGTAACAATGAAGAACAAGTTGATGCTGCTGAGGTCCATAGTGTTGGCAAATCTGCTGTATGCTTGTGAGAGCTGGACGATAAGTAGAGCAGATGAGCAAAGAATAAGAGCAATGCAGATGAAGTCATACAGGCGGCTATTGGGAGTAACTTGGAAGGACAGGAAGACAAATGAGTGGATAATGGATAAGATCAAAGAGATCTGTGGATATGAACCGGAAGATCTGATGGATGTGGTGAAGAGGAGGAAGCTCCAGTACTTCGGACAGCTGGTTCGTGGAGGAGGAACTGGTAGAGCTGTGTTGGAAGGCGGAATGGAGGGAAGCAGGGGCAGAGGGAGACCACAGAGAAACTGGATGGGGAATATTACTGAGTGGACGGGAGAAAGAGGCAACACCTTGAGTAGTATGACGGTTAATCGGGAAGGCTGGAGAAAGGCTATCACGAACTGGGTGCACCCACGGCCGCCTCGGCTACGGAGCTGATGATGATGAAAAGTTAGCTTTTCCACCGTGCTTTCTAACCTGTCTAATCAATCTGTCAACTTTGTGTTATCACTAACGATTGTTGCTACAGGTGTGGCACTTTGACTTGGGGTAGAAAGATGTTGTTCCATTGGGGCAGTTCCTTTTTCGCCACCTCAATAGCTTTGTCAAAACAAGCTAGGTCGGATATCAAAACCATTTGTTTTAAAGAGGGGCGGAGGCAGTTAATGAAATGTTCCCTTGTTAGGGTGCTTTGATGTTCTACTGGCATCGCAGCGTAGGCGCGGCGCATACATTTGCAGGGTTGCCATTTCTCGATTTTGGCCGTTTTCTAAAGCCCTTGGCCGTCAAAAAAAATTTTGGCCGATACGAAAAAAGTTGGCCGAATTTCTGCGAAGAACATAAACAAATATCTAAGTCTTTCTTTTCAACAAAACATCAAATCATTTAAACATATTTTAAAAGCGTTAGTTCGTCATCTTCTCTCATTAAGTCTTGATCTTGCTCATCATCTGCATTTGAGTACATGTTCTGTGAAGTGAAGCGTTCAAACATGTCCTTTGTAACTGTGAAATCTTTGCAGCACTTTCCTTGGAACTGTAGATGAGTGCAAATCTGAATAATTGTATCAAGCATCTTAGAACCAAGACGATTTAGCACTTTGGTCTTCACATTCGTTACAGTGGAAAAAACTCTTTCAACTGTGGAAAAAACTCTTTCAACCACAGCATTGCTGACATGTCCTGGTGTCGAAAAACAGGACAATGCGTAAATTGCCAATTCACGGAAGGGGACACATCCAGATGAAGTCTTATACTGCAATACTCCTGACCAGAATTTAACTGTGTCTGTTGGGATCCTACCATCAAATACAGACTCCTCGACCCAGGCAACATGTAATATTTTTCTAAACTGTTGCTCAATGTCATCTTGATTGACAGCTCGAAGGTGCGGCATTGGAAGGTCATTAAAGGCAACTCGTGACGTTAGGCTCAGGATCGTGCCTGGTGAAAGGCTGCTGAGACCTTTAAAGACAGCAGTGGGCTTTGGCAGACGTTTCTCAACTTGATTCAAAGCCTCTGCAAGCATCTCGCTACATCTTTGTCGCATTTCATTTACTTTGCTGTCGATTCCCCTGAACTGGCGTCTGCATATGAATTCAACTCATGTGTGAACTTTGCTCCAAGATCGACTTTGTCGATTGCCAGCCTTTCTCCCTGTCTGTCAAAGAGTCTATCTTGCAAGCTTTTCTGATGCAATGTAAGCTCCTGGACCATTTCCTCTGGATCGGCATCCATGGCTTGAAAAAACGAGTTTACACGCTCGAACTCTGTTACGATTGGGGAGATGAAATGAAAGTAAAGCAAGTTCATAGGGTTGGACAGCATATCCAGTATCTTCCTTGCTTTGTAGCGACACGAAGCATTTGTGGTTAGCAAGGCGCATGCAAAGTAGGCCTTTCATTCTTGCCAATTAACCAGGATGTTGTATGCCTCTAACCAGCTACCTCGTCGCTGAGGTTTTCTGGAATGGAAGAGGTGTGCCTTTGCGCTCTTCATTAGGGTCCATCGCCTTGAACAGATCTTTAAATGCCTCCCCCAGTATTCTACTCTTGCTGAACCACTTAGGAATCTCAGCTAGGAGGTGTCCAAGATTTGACGGCAGTTTCTGGATGCTTTCTCTATGCACAAGGCAAGAGAGTGGTAGATGCATCTGTTTAGCTGGCAGCCAGGAGCCTCAGCCCTCACTCTCGACCACACCGATTCATGTTCTCCGATCATCGCAGATGCTCCATCACTCCCGAAACCAATGCAGTTTGACATCTTGAGACCCATTGTCACCAACTATGCTTTTAGATGTGCAAAAATCCCACGTCTCTTTGTCGCAACCACTGGAAGAAGGCCACCATTATCAGTCGCAATCGTGGCTCTGGACTTGTTGAAATAGTGAATCACCACACAGAGATGTTTGTCAGCAAAGACATCAGTGGACTCATCAATCAAGATCGCATACTTTTTTTCTGATACATCAAATTTTAGGTTTTCGTGCAGGGCTGGAGAGATCACCTTTGTTATTAGCTTGCTGCATTTTGTTCGATGGAGCTTCAAGTGTTCAAGGTCACTTCCTTTTCCATTCTTCTTCATAAACTCTCCCAGATATTGTGGAGCAATGGCACGAAATAGCAACAGCAAGTTCTATCTCAAACTTCTGTGTTTTTTTCCCGGTTTTTGAGTTTTTGCAAATGGCATAGGTAAAGTGTATTTTGCTGAATTGACTCTGTTGACATGCGCTTTGGACTTCTCATGATCAGTCAAACGGGATGCTCTCGGTGCAACTTGAGTTCGACAGAGCTTACAAAATGCATTTTCAGTGCCATCAGCTGCTTTTGACACCCAAAAAAATTTATCTTCCCATGACTTATTATATTTACGTCCACTATCGTAACTCCTTTTCCACTTTCTAGACATGATACTACTCTCACTTCTCCAGCTCCAACTAACAAACTACTGGACAAAAAGTACTTTTTCAAAACACAAAACTAAAGAAGAAAAATGTGAACTTTACAATGACTTCAAACACCTTTTATTGGTTTCACCATCTGCTCTATTATTCTAGTCACCTTAGGAAAACTGCTCTGCAATTTCAACTTGAAACACCTGGTCAAAATTCTCTGGTTGAAAAGTTTGGTAAAAAGATTATAATCTCATTTTATTACACCAATGAAAAAAATAAATGTTGTAAATTTGGCCGAAATTTGGCTGTTTGAACGATTTTTTGGTCAAATTTGGCCGAAAATAGAGCGAGAATGTTTGGCCGAATTTGGCTGGAAACTACGAAACTTTTGGCCGCAGACTGTTTCAGCAATCTGGCAACCCTGCCCATTGGTGGATTGCGTGGCCAAAACCTTCGGCAGATTCGGTTTTCCCTTGTTTCCATGAGTAAAGGTCTGCATAATAGAAGCATCAGGCTTCTTTTGGTATATAATGATCTACGAGGGCCCCTTTTTATTGGTCCCAATCAGATTTTTGTCTAGGGGAAGCTCATCATAACACTTGAATTGTTTCCGTTTCCAAGTATAAACCCATTCCTTTGTTTTTGTGCACGATTCTGGTAATGGCGTTATGTGCCATGTATTGTTTTCTTTGAGAATCTTTATCTTGTTATCCATGGCAGCTTTCCATTTTTGTGCATCTTGTCAATGAATCGCTTCTTCATACATTTTTAGAATTGATGGTACAACAGTATTGGCATAATAAATATTTGCAGTGAGTTGATAGTCGGATAGGTACTTCTGTTGTCAGATTTTGCATCTTGGCATTTTCACCGCTGTCATCTGTACATTACTCGGAACCCTCTTCCACAAACAATGGCTTTTCTGCTTGCTCATCTTTAGAATTTTCAGGAATTGTTTGAGGTTTTATGTCTCGCAGATTGATTTCTTTTAATGCTTGCTGTTGAGCATAGACGTTCCATGATGTAATGACTCTTCCAGTTGTTGTATTTAGAACATATTAACCTACATTTATATGGTTGATTTGATTTGATTTGATACAAGCCTCGTTTTGATTCTCTATTTCTGCTTCTTGATCGATATTGTTTGAGGCCTCAACAGCATTTATTTGGCCTTAAAGAAGCATTTATTTGAAAAAGCGAGCAACAAATTGGACTAAAAAACATTATTTCTTCTTTTTTTTATAATTATGTAACTGTTGTTAACTTTTGAACCTGTAATTTGACTTTGCTATTAATTTTAGAGTTGAAGAGCCACTCTTGTAGTGGATATGATCGATTGTACCATTATTATTATTATTGTTATTATTATTATTTATGTACGTCTTTGTAAATTCCTAATATATATCATGATGATGAAATTTATCTGCAGTTATACTCCTTGTACAGATGTTCTGTTATATTTTCTCAGCACTAGGCCGGTTTTTATGTTCTGAGCTTCCGAGATAATTTGTGGCAAATATGCAACATTCCCAAATAAGGGTCAGAAATATCAGGTTTTATCATTTATGGTCCAATGTTATTCTTTTTTAGTTTTTCACCTATGCTGCACCCAAAAACTGTATGTTTTTGCCAGATTTACCCCCAATAAACTTGATTCACTTGAACTGAATGTTATGCTTATGGTAGGCCCATTTCCATCAAGTGTAACCATACAAATTTTTCTCCTTGCAGAAACATGTCCAGACATGAAAGTAAAAAGATTTGTGTTCAAGATGTTGAAAGATTCTGATGTTGAAGAACTTACCTCTGACGAAGAAGAAAATGGTCCTGAATTTGCTCATGGACAGAGAGGGGATTATTGAACCAAATACGCCTCTGGAATACTTCAAAATGTTCTGGACTGATGAATTGACAGAACTGGTCACAGAGCAAACAAACCTATACAGCACCCAAAGGTCAGGATGTTCCATCAACATAACAAAAATTAAATAGAGCAGCTGAATGGGGTGCAAATGAAAATGGGAATCATTCAGTTGCCCTCTTACCTTTTGTATTGGTCACAAAATCTGCGGTACGCTCCCATTGCTGATGTTATGCCATTGAAAAGGGATCAAAAGCTTAGGCAATATCTGCATTTTGTTGACAATATGACATATGAGGACAGAGTCCATGACAAACTTTTACAAATTAAGCCAGTTCTGGAAAGTGTTAGAGAGCAATGCACCAAAATTCAACCGGAGCTATCAGTGTTGTGTTATCAACTACACTACCGATTGAAGGAGAGATGCAGATCCTTCTGGCAGATATCATTGGTATTCCTTCAACCAGATGGACTAATAGTGATGTTACCTACAGAAGAAAAGCTGCGTTGAAAAAGGTAACTCGATCATCATTGAAAGACAAAACAAAACTGATAATATACAGTATTACCCCGCCACTAGGAAACTGTCTTATAAAAAACTACAGCCTGCCAGATGGCACCACATCTACCCTGATATAAAAGAAACTAATCAGTCTGAAACCCAATCTGGTTGGCTTGCATCTGGGGTAGTTAATATTATTGGCTTTTTTTCCTTTACATAGGAGAGCATTATGAAATCAAAGCCTAAGAATCTGTCCAAAAATTGGTTTAATATAACCCATTTAGGCTTTAAATATGAAAATCTAATAAAATTTGGTTTAATATAAAAGTAGATTTCATGGTTTTTATTCAAACATGCATGCACATTTGATGAGATTCTTGCTGTAATTATAAGAAATCATTCAGCCTTTTCTGTTCTTCTATCAGAAACCAACCAGACTGTATTTACAAAACGAGTTTCTTAGTAGCAGGGTAGTACTGGAGTCAAATTTTTGTAGATAACATCACCTTTGAAATAAGACTCTTAAACCCAGTGAAGTCAAATTATGTTCATGAGTTTGTTGATAAAAAGTTGAAAATATGATGTAATTTGCTTGTATTAAACAAAAGTATTGTAGTAAACGGGTGTTTAAACACATCTAAGAGTTAATAGGCTGCATATAGAACACCTAATAGAGCCTTACCTCGGGTAAAAAAACATCCATTTGCAAGCAAACTAGATTTCGTTCTCGAATGTCTAGGAGAAGTCTCCCCTTCGTCACTCTTTCACAGTATTGAAGGAGAACATCGATCTAATTTAAAGGAAAATGATGAAAGAAAACTAAAAACTAATCAAAAAACTGAAGTTGGCTGTATGCTATGGCACAATCAAAGAATAAGCAAATCCATTCTCAAATAAACTTTTGTTGAAAAAACTGTAGAAAAAAGCAAATACGTACAGTGTTGCTATTTAAAAGCCTGCCCTGATCTGGTTCTTTTCGGAGCTTATTGATGCCTCCTTTTCTTAATAGTTCCATTCGCTTGCAGAAAATGGTCCCATCACTCATTTCAGTCAAGTAGCGCTGTACAAAAAGGGATTGTCAGAATTAAGATAAATATTTTGTAAATTTAGAGGACTTTCAAATAAACATGTTCAAAGTGATTTGAAGCACAATTGACATGAATACGTTATGGTGACTGATTTTTAACTATTGGGGTGCTCTCAAGAAAGAAGGTAAATTTAAACACAAAGTGCTCTGAACAAAACCTGCTGGTCTTCAATACGGGAAACAAATTTTGAAGCAATTTGGCATTCAGATATTTTTTCATGCCAGGGTGAACTGCAGCAGATAAGTGGTTTCGTGGTTTCTGTTGAGTCTTTTTGTGGCTTCTAAAAGTTCATCACCGCTTAGATTATGACGAAATAATGACATACTGACATTAGTCTGTAAAATTTTCAAGAAAAGGTCGCAACAATTTGATACCAATGATACTTGTCACTTAAAAACATTCAAGGTTATAATGCTTGGGAGGTATACAGCTTTACCTGTACATCTTTGTCGTATGTATTGAGCAGTTTTTTGACCTCTCTGACAGAGGAAAATTTCTGCAAGCTATAAAATGTTAAAAAAATCATAGAAGAATGAATTTAAAAATATGTGCCAAAAATTCAAACTTATCATAGATAGTTCTATAGTTAAAGGCATAAATATCATATGTAAATCCTCCCACGATGAGGAGACCCTAGTAATTGAATACATTCAACTGTATGTAATTCCAAATGTCTAAGGAATCGTCAAAATGTTCAAATTATACATGGATTGAAAAGCCTTGGTTTTTGCCTCAGTTATCTCTATATGTGTAAGAATCTTAAGGAAATCTTGGTTAGGGCTAGGCTCACAAGTGGGAGGGAGAAGGGTACAATAACAGGGGACGTTCGTGTTGTAAGAAGTCCAGATGTCAAGTGTGTAAAGTCATGTCTAACAGCGATACTTTTAAGTCTTGCACTACAGCTAAAGAATATAAGATCAACTATTTGTTTAACTGTGACTCGTCAAATGTTGTGTACTTGATTGAGTGCAATGTCTGTGGTGTCCAGTATGTAGGATGCACATGCACGCCTTTTAGGCTTAGGTTTAATAATTACAAAGCGTGTAGTTTAATTCAGGGTCTTCAGTGCCCCAGATGGAATTTTTCAGACATTTTTCTGAGGAAGGACATCGGGGGTTCCTGAATGAAGTGTTAAGGTAATCGATAAGTTAACAGGTAATGATAGGAGGAGGGAAAGTTTTTGGCATATCGCTTGAATACTTTCTTTCTCTCCAATGGGTCTTAATACTAGGCAGTTAGATGCATGTTTTTTTTAATTTTATGGCTTTCATCTATCTCTTGTGAGACAGCCAACACCAGCATCTCCATCGCATTCTTCTTTTTTCTACCTTTCTAATCACTTCTCTCCTATTTCTCAAACTTGGCCCTTTTCATTTCCGCAACAAATATCGAAGAAAATTTGCTTAAATAGCAACAAGCAATTGAAAAAATGTAAATCTTAAGATAATTTTATGAAATGAAGTACTTATATCATAAGCTTACTTCTTAAAATTGGCAAAAACTTAGAACTAGAAAGCAATTATTTCTGAGAGGACCAAAAAATTGGTCGGATTAGGACAAGTTCGAATCAATGAGATTCCAATTTTTGAAGGGTCTTTTAGGGGGTTTTCAAGGCACCTGAAAATTGTGTTCGAATGAGTAAAAGTTGGTATTACACTGATACCAACGTAGTTGATACGCTGAATATTGTTTTGAATAATAAGTCTGAGTCAATTTAACATACTGGTTCAAATCCTTTGCCTCATATCCGCAGCCACAGAACCACAGATCAGTATCTCCCACAACTTCTGCATTTAAACAACCCGTGTGGAACCTTCTTAGGCAATGGCGGCAGTGCAGTTTTTCCTGAGTTGTATTCACACCAACTGCAAGCACACACTGGTCGTTTGTTGCACAGCGACTATATGCCCGTGTTCTCTCAAAATGTTGCAAATGTACAAGGCTTCACTAGCAAGTAGCAAATGTACTGGGCCTGAAAAAGATAAGAATGTTTTTAATTTTTCATTTCATCTATGATCATCAAAGGATGGAATCACAAAATCAACAAACAAACAAACAAACAAATGCAAACAAATAGAAAACTTTGAGACTTTACTAGAGAACAGGCACCGCGGAGCGTTGAGAAAAGTGGGGGGTCTAAAAAAGTGGGGGGGGGGCTAAAACCGTATAAAAGAGGCTTTTCTGTTAGTTTGATACTTCATATTTGGCATTTTTTGCAAAAAGTGCCAAATATTAAGCTCTGTGGTGCCTGGAAAAGGAAACACTTTGGTTGGCTCTGACATATGTGGTATATTTGGGGGCCCATAGGTGTAGACTACATAGCTTGGTATTCCTGCATCAAGTGTAAATTTATGCACTTGAGGCTGTGCATATCTTATTCAAACAATGGTGTTGAGTTCTTACAGTATCTTACATAAGTATGTAATATATTTTTCTAATAAAATCAATCCATTGGTTGGAAAGAAAAACTAACAACACGAGTTTCAATTGAAAACGATCACACTGCATTTGCCTTGAAAACGATCATTGTTTGTCGCAAAACAATTTCATTTCATATTTGCACTTACTTTCAAAGAAGTAAAGCAATCAAAGCTAACTGCATTCATGGTTTGGCTGGAATGAATCCAAAACCTCTCTTCTGAAGCCTCCTTCTATTTTTTCCGACGGCATTTTAAATAATCGAGCCTGTTGACTCTGCTGTTGCAACTGAGGAGACACAACATAAAAAATGTTGTTCCAAAATGAAACAATTCAACATTTCGATAAATATACATTTCAATTAAAAGTAACACAACTTTAAAAATTCACCCCACTTTGAAAAACACAATGTATCTTAAAGAAATATGCCATGTATTTCATAGCCATTGTTGGAATGGTGGTACCAACATTGACGAAACAGAGTAAACTTACTTTTAATGAGATAGCTACTTTCTCTTTGTTCAGCTACCTTGACATTTAGCATTTACATCTTCAGACATGCAATCAACAGTACGCAATAACGATCTTGTACTGTATATACCTGATTTTAAATGGAAAAATACGAGGAAGTACATGACTTATCTGATGAAATACCTTTGAAAGGATTTCTGCTTTATTTGTTATTGCATATTTTAGTGACTTTAGTTTTAAAACTGGCCATGCATCTTCTGTTTTATACAACTGCTTTGAAAGGCAGCGGTAAATATCTTGCCCATCTCGCGAAACTTTCAATGGTACAAGGCCCTGAAAACCACCATCCTCAGGAACTAAGTGGCGTACCCTAAAACACAAAATTCGTGTTATTAACGCCATCTACAGTATCCCTACAATGAAATGCAGACGCCATAAAAAATACTAATATCTTGCAGTTTTCTTTATAATTATTGTAACAAAAATTACTAATCAGATTAAATGGCATCATACCAATTACATTAAATTAATTAAAGAAATCATACCAAAAGTCGAAGTCATCATTATTAAAGGCTTGCATGAGGCATTTTCTCCAGAAACGAGGCAAATCGTACAGCAGCTAGCCAGCTCTCTAGCTTCAAAACTCCCATCAGCTCCTTGCAAGACTCTGGAGACCATGGAAAATCCTGAAAAGCACATTTTAAAAGAAGGATATGATAATGCGTAATAATGAGGAGTATTGATGCCTTTTATCCTCGTTTTTGCTTAATTTCGTACAAGGGCATTCAAACTAGTCTCTGTCATCATCAAAGGTCAGCTTTTCAAGCAAAAAATCTTGAAATCTATTCAAAATGACAAAATTTTGGAATCTGTTAAAGCTTTTGATTTTTTTACATACTTTGGTACCCAAAAAGTTTGATCATTACTTTTTAAATAATTTACAGCAGGAATGCATCCTATGGTAGTTACAAAAAATTTTCCTTTCCATAATTTCTTTTAAGAGAAAAACAAAACAGATAATCGTGTGCTGTGTGACAGAAAAGGAAAACTTGGTATTCTTGGTAGCTTTTAAAAAAGTTTTTTAGATCTTTGATTGGTACAACCTACTGGAAATACTCCTCGATAGTTGGAGGATCGACATCAAAAAATTTTGAAGTGTTGTTGCCATATAAACATGTCAATCCGTTGCGTAGCAATGCACACACCATCTAGATCTTGCCAACTGCGCTCAAACCAATTTTAACCCTATCCAGACTAGGGGGGTTTTTCTAGTTGGTTTTTCTTTCATAACTTCAGGAGTTTGAAAGCAATACCCCTCAGACCTCCTGACTTTTAATTTTAATCTATCTGACACATGTTCATATAAAAAGATAATTTTTTTATTATTAATCAGGGGGTTGTGTAGGGGCGTTTTCAAAACTAGTCAAGTAAAAAATAGTTCAATCTGCCACGGATTCGCAACAAAAGTAGATATATTGATGAAAATTAGTATCTAGTCATTAATTTGTGCTCTTTTCATGATTCTGACCAGAAAATTCAAATTCAACATCCTTTTCTGCTGCGCATGCGCACACATTTGTTGACAGATTTATAGGTATTACATTAATAAAACTGCAATACATTTTGTTAGGAACGTTAATAATTTTGAGAAGTAACATTAAAATTGTGTCAATCTTCTTGTTTCTATTAGAAAATGCATCAAATTTGCTTATTTTAATATCTTACCCCGATGCTTTGGAATTAATGAATATTTTAAGATTTTCTAGAATTTTCTAAATTGTTGCTTCACCCGGCCACCATTATGATGATGTCATCGTGAAACCACGTGACTTAAAAATTGAACAATAATACTAAAATGTGGAGAAAAGATAAGAGTACCATCCAAACAAAGTTCATTGTCCTAGCTAGAGGAACAAAGAAATTACGATCCCCGAAATTACGGCCTTACAGTCTCCCTAGTCTCCCGAAAGTTTCAAAAAGCCTAGTCTGGATAGGGTTAAAAGCCTTATGAAACGAAATTCTCAGTATCGCTTTTCTTTCATTATCTAAATTTGCTATCTTTCCTTGTAATTTTGGTATCAAAATAAGCAATGTGGGTTAAACAGAAGATATTCAAAAACGAGTTTGAAGTTGGGTTGTTTTCACGAAAAATGTGAGAATTGTGTGACGTATGAATGATGAGTCGTCCCCAGAGACTGGTCTGGTTGCCATGCGTCCGTGATTGCAAACAGCGGAGAAAGAGTCTCTCGTCAGTATTGGTTTTTTTGCTGGGCGAAATAAGTTTATATATTTATACAGCTGATCATGTCAGAAAGTGAAAATGAATCTGTTGGAAGCGTAGTCAAAGTAATTTCATCGGAGGGCAGTGGTTTTGAAGATGATTACGGAATCATTAATTTGGAAGGAGCAGTTAGGCCATATCAGGGCGAACCATTTGCTAACCTCGAGGATGCCGAGGCTTACGAGCAAGATGAAGAGGACCCTGACCAAATTCCTATGGATGTTTTAGGAGCAAGATATGAAAGAAGAATCCCAGTTAATGAATGGTATGTTCCTTTTCAAATATGAATGGTTGCTACGAGCAGTTTTTTACTTGTAATTTTCGTTTCATGGGACATGTGGAACAGTAGTTCATTTTCAGTTTTATACATGCGTTCTTCAGCATATATTTTTCAGTAATATTCACTCAATAATAGCATTCCGCTTTAATTTATTTTCGAGTGGAAGTTATTGATTTATTTTTCTTAATTATTTTGCTCTGAACGTTTGGTTTGGCAAAGTAGGCCTAAGTGAATCATTCCAATCGTAGGTGTCAGTGTAACAAGTGCGACTCCGCCTTGCTGGATGGTGCTCGAGAATACCAATGTTGTTTTGAGATTCCTGCAGCAATTGATAAATTGGGTGGGGAAATACAAGTAACAAGGTGCATCACACAACAGGAAGACTGCCTGTCCATGGCAAAACGTTGGCCCACTACTTAAAGACAGAGATGGGAGAAGATACAAACAAAAAGCAGGCTGTTCGAAAAACCAGTCAGTATAAGGGCCAATAACATTTTAATTTCCAGATACTACAAAATTGTACATAAGCAAATTATACGAAAAAATTACTACATATATATGCTTATCATTTAAATAAACATAATTTTAAATTTTTGCATTGTGGAGTATCATTTTTATCATCTTTTGAATCCAAACAATTTACACATTGCAGGTACATGAGATCTGTTGCCTACCGCTGAATTTTCAGATACATGTTTGGGTTTTTCGGTTGGGATAATGCAAGACCATTACCTGCTTGTGTTTATCACAACATCAGGACAAAATTTTCAAACTTGCACTCAACTGGGTATTCTTCTACACAGGAGAGGCAGTAAAAAACAGAAATTAAGTATTATTTATTATTTGGCTCTCTTACCTACTAGCCATCAAGATTACAAGTTTTATTAGTTGTTCAATAAAAATTATAAAAATACATCTTTACGGTTCAGACATCCCATTTACCAACTTTGTGGCCTTTCATAGGTTTTCTGCATTTTTGGCATGACCTTACTTTTTTCTGAAAACTAGCCGCCGCATCATCATCTCATTGGCATGATTTTACTCCTGTTGTTCTTGCTCTAAAACTGAGATAACAACCATTAGACAAGTCGAACCTGCCAAACCTAGAGGTCCTTCATTGTGAAACAGTGGAGGCTGCTATACCTTATTAATCAATTTATGTCAATTTCATCATAGAGTGCTCGCAATACATTCATAATTTAACAAAAGATAAAAGGTTGATATGAAAGGGGCAATTAAACATAGAATAAAACCTTTAAGTAACTCACTGTCTGGGTAAAGCTTAGTCACTGTTCCTTTTTTTTCCAGGTACTTTGCAATGGCTTCACTTCTGGGGACTTTTTCAAATGATGCATTCAGTGTCGGAGGCTGAAGTTCAGTGTAGCGATTCAAAATTTTCTTCAGTGCCTCCAAATTGGTGTTGAAAATAACAGTTTTTATGTCTTCAATGTAATCTGCAATAAAAATTTTTTTAGCTCAATGTTTATTTGATAGTGGGTGAATATCAAGGGGCCTCATTCTGGCAACTAACATGGCAATTTCAACAAAATAAATTGAAGGTTCAGTAACATAAATACAAAATACAATAAAATAATTCAAACTGGGGTTCAGAAATTGTTGTTCTTTTATTTTAATGGCTACTGCTTCTTGCAAGAAGCCTGCAAATGGTATTTTACATTACTGATCGAAATGCTTCTAATCCAATTTACAAAGTTTCAAATTTGTTCCAAAGTTTAATTTGAAAAACTTTAAAAGGTCATTACCATATGTTGGTGGAACAGCAATTTCTCGTACAATTTCTTCTCCTAGTTTTTATTTTGGGTAAATTATATTGACATAATGGATTCCATCATTTGACACTTGCTTTTCGCGTTTGAGACTTTCGTTGAAATGGAGTGTAGCTATTATATGCCTGAAATGAAAATGAAATTAATATCAGCTTTTATGATGTGTTATTTCTCCATCTAATGACCTGCATATTTTGCTAAGCATTAGCATAAATTGTATTATCATGAATATTACCTGCACATTGTTCCAAGCCATGAGAAGTGAGTCATTTTCTGGTGCCAGTGGTTAAGGGTGGAATGAAAGCCTTCCAAGCAACTGTTTGTAAATCAGATGAGGCCATCTGAATATCTTTCAATATATGTTGGCTCATCAAAATGGTTTGAAGCTTGTCATATGCTTTGCTCCCTATAATAAAGTTGAAATTTAGGTTTTAGATACAAATTGGTAACATGTTTTGGAATTGACAAACCTAAACCTTAAGTTAAGATGTTGAGTGTAATTTCATTTTATATTTATTCAATTTTCAAATATAAAAAAGTAACTGCATTCTCAGAAGAAAAAGTTATCACCATTAAAAATTGTTTTATTTATTTGCTTATAAGTTATTGAAATTCAGAAGTTTTGGAACAGTTAAGTCCAGAAAAGCAATTTTAACTTTTACATACATAGTAATAAGGACTGATGTCTAACCTATTTTTATCCAGTCACGGGGCTCAATGTCACCATGTGCACATTCACTAAACATTGCATCAGGGTGATTTGAATGGAGATTTGATATGTGCCGCATCATGGATTTCAACTTGGATAATATCAGCTGGCCATGACCCTGTTTTGTTGAGTGAGCACTCCAATACAAATGGTTCCTTATACTAGTCATCCAAGAATGAATCTTTTCATTTCCTTTTTCATTGCCAGCTTTCAATAATTGTTTTTTTATACTTTTTAAAATATGCCACAAATCATGGAAATGCATTGTGTTTGGACACGACTCTCTGATCCATTTTGCAATGCCCCTATGCCTGTCACTGACAAATGATGATATTTCAAGTCCTCTGTTGTTCAAATGTTCAAAGCATTTTTTTGCGGCTGCGAGCTCTATTGCATTGCTGCTTTCGCACTGATTGCTCTGAGAATATTAGAAAATGTTTACATATGAAAATTTTTTTAGAAAATTCATCAAATAACTAGTAAAAGGAAAAAAATACTTTTTTTCAAAATAAGTGTCTTAAAACTGAAAATAATTATGAAAATACATAATATGACTTTCAGTGTCTTTTTCATGGTTTTCAAAGTGAAGTCATAATTTCACTGAAAAGTTTTCTAAACACTGGAAATCTAAATGTGCAAATTTGGATGCTCAAATTATTTCTGATACAAAGGCTGTAGAAAAAACAATTAAGTAATGTATACATTTAAACAAAATAGACTTCTACCTGTAGCAACTCAAAGTGCACCAGTTTTGAAATTGTATTACAAAACATGGAGTAAGCTCCATACTTTGCGTTCTGTCCCATGGAGTCAAATCTAGCATCTCCTGACCACTGTGCATTTTCTAGATGCCTAATTTATTCTATCAGTGCTGCTTGGTATTTCCTCCAGTGGTCGAATACAGCTGGAAACAAAAATTTTATTTGGTGCAGGAAGTAGGTTCGTGGAGTTATCATTGATAAACCCATGTGTTTAAACATGAGAAATGCTTGACTGATACTGATACCAGACAGAAGAATGCTTAAACTTGTCATCAGGTTTCCAGCAGGGTAACGTCCATGGACATATGGCTGACTTTTCCAAATAAACTGTTTACCACAGAAGTCACAGTCTTGAGCAATAATACACATGGTGCCATTTCTCCTTACATCAACAGTTGGTGCATCATGCTTGCAGTTGAAACAAAACTGTTGACATATTGATAACAACATGCTGTAAAACACAATGAACTTGGGCTCATCATGTGGTTTGACGTCAGGTTCTATTCTGAAAAAAAAATCAAATGGTTACCTTCTACTGTCATGTTATTTTACCAATAATAAAATTTGGCAGCTGATCTTGACAGGCACTGTTCCCCTTGCTAAATCTACAACAGCATGTTAATCCTTCACAATCTAATGCTGGGTAGGATCTAAAAAATATTACCTGACTGAATTCCTATAATTACTGTTTCCAGCCTCATTGTCATTGTCGTCTGATGATAAATCACATTCTTCATCTTTGTGGCTCCAATCAGTATCTGAAAACGATTCATCCATTTCCACACTTTCAAATGATTGATTCAAATCAACAAAAATGGACGTGGTTTCAGGGTTTTCATCTTTACTGCAACTTGGTTGGCTTTCTTTGTCCTGATAATATAAAAGTGTTGTAGTGTAACTACAATACCTTACAACCAGTTACATATTTCAAAGGATTTATTACTTTGCAGTTCCAATCAGTATTTGTTTAAGTGTTTTAAAAGTATATGAAAACATTGTCAAATTTTTACTTTTGAAATGCAATTTAAAAATGCGTTTAAAACTCTCACTTCTGAAATTTGCTGGCATAGTTTCTCATTCTGGTTACGAAGGTACCAGACCCTTTTTTGCAAAGCAATTATCTTCTTTCTTTGCATATCTACTGTGTCCACTTCGGTTTCTTGCTCCTGTACTGTGGATTATGGGGCAACTGTTTCTGGTTCTTCTTTTTCAGCCAAGCTCTTTAAAATCTGAAAATTTATTTGAAATGTGTATTCGGGTAACAATCTGCCTAAGCTTTGTAAAATGGGGTTGGGAAGAACTGGCAAGGCAGAGTTTTTTTAAAATTAAAATCACTGTGATTTGCAATTTTGAGAAGCCCAAGAGGGCTTATGTCTCTTTAGGCCGTATGCGGAAGTAAAGTTTTCGATCTAAGTGTCAAAACTTACCCGCTTTTGTTCACGCTCAGAAGGGTCAGTTGTACTTTCAGCTTCATTCGCCGCATCGATCTTTAAGTTTCTTTCTTTAAGTTTCGGGAAAGCATCATCTTTAAGTTTTATTCGGATGCCAAGCTCTTTACAAACATCCCTCCTCATGGTGAAGCATGAATCCTCAAAATGAATGGAGCACAGTAATGAAAGTAATGAAACGAAACATTTCATTTCTTGAACCGAAATTCGACCTCACATTTGTCCTCTTGCATCCCATCCAGATTAAAACGTTCATATTTCCAATATGGAAGTCCAACATGCAGGTTTCCGTGTCTATTGCCTCATGAAAAACAAGGAATTTTTCATCATCAATCTCGCCGTCATCGTGCATGAGAACTAACATTTCCTCCTCCATTTTCGATATAAAGTCAATTTTGGCGCCTATTCTGAGTCGTCTTCCGCATTCGTAACTTAAAGGCATTGAGTCATGATAAATAGACTGGGTATACCCTAAGTGCCAAAATCCGCTGAGTCATGATTTCCATGACTGCGATGCACTCACCTTGAACTGGTCACATGAACTCACCTTGTACTGATTAACATAACAGTTTCCATCAATAGCAAGTTGTCAACAACGGATGCCAATATCACATGAAACAGCAGCGATCATGCCGAAACCAAATGACCCCCTATAGAAAAAGCCTATTTACCATGACTCAATGCCTTTAAATTGAACACGCGAATAAGGGCACCTCAACTCAGTTAGTACCCAGACCTCCATGAGCCGTCCTCACTTGAGTCGTCTTGAATCGAAAACTCTCTAATAAGCCATCACTTTCGACAAGAGAAGGAGGAAATGTGCATAACTCATAAGAATAAGCTGTCTCTAAGTCTAGCTCTGATCCTATACCTCTGACAGCTGTTATTAGACGTTGAAACATCAAGAGCGGGTCGATAGAAATGATTTCACCATCTATTTGGATGCTGGATCTTGCTTTCATGGTTACGGCAATGTCTTTCCTTTTAAACGAATACTCTCCAACTTCACTTCCAGACATTGATTATAAAATACATTTCACGATTCTCTTTGCATCATCTACATTGACAGCAGAAATTGCAACCTCTCCTGTGTCAATGCTTGTAAGCTCCTTACGGTTGCCAAAAGGATTTCTTGACGTTATATATAGTAAAATTTTCCTTGCATCCTCAAAATCTCTTGATAGGCGAACTTACCCGTCAGGTAATCAAACTCTTCAAGAGCAGCCCTAAAAATTGCCAAATCGAAAACAGGGCTTTAAAAAGTTAACCTTCGTTTATAATGAACTGGTCAGTTTTTAAAATGCAATAATTCCATTCTATTTTGGCAATTTCATATGCAACTTTTACGATTAAAGCTGATGGCAAAGGCAGTAGTATATTTATTGGTGAATGGTCTCTAACAATATCAACTTCTAATTCAACTTCATTTTTCACCTCAAACAAATCATCCTCTTCAACCGCTTCTCTCTCCGACAGTCTGCTTTTCGTTAGCACTGACAAATCTTCTGCCTCTTTCTTTCTTTTTGGCAATGAATGCATCCCTCTCTCTTGTTACTCGATCGAGCAAAATTGATATTTCCTTACTGTTATATAGGACATTGAGACAGTGTTCAAGTGCAAGTGGATCCGGTACCACAGTTAAATGTCCCTTAATAAATGTTAAAGGATAAATGTCCCTTAATTCGGCTATTAACTGCTTTTGCTCTTGAGGTGAAGCGTTCTTTCTTGCTTCAAATTTGGATGGGTGAATAAGATTCATCCATTTAAACTTGTTCAAGTTTTCAAACCTCCAGCTAATTTGATCTGTGAATTTAGAAGTAACTTGCACTGCAATTTCTACCAAGGATCGCTTCCAACTTTCTGTAGAACCATTTATACTCCCCTGTATTCCACGCCAACCTGCCCTTTTTCTAACAGCAGGGATTTCCAGATCAAGATTCATTTTGTCTTACCAGACATCATTGAAGTCGAGCGCTTCCAACACATCTTGAAAATCCTCTAACATGAAAGACAGCTGCACCGCATCAAGTGTTGGCTTTTGCATCAAACTCGATATGCTGAATTTTGTGCATAGTCCCCTTGTAGTTGTTCGTATTTCTGATATCGCATCTCCATCTAGAGCCATTTCAAATAACACTGTTCCAAGAACCTCATACGAAGAATCCATAGCTTTTATTGCGGTATCTTGAGAGAGCCAGCAGGTATCGCCAGGTTTTGGTAAACTATGGCCAAGTAAATGTTTGCGTTTCGGGCTACTCCTGAAGAATTTAACGACACTGTCAACAGTATCTAAAAACCTGGCAACATTTTGAATTTTCCTTGATGTTTGAGAGGCACAAAGCGACATCCTGTGTGCAACGCAATGGTTGTAAAAAGCGAACGGAAAATTATCTTGCACTTGTCTCTGCACACCGCTTAACGCACCACTCATTGGCGGAGCTCCATCATAAAACTGGCCAATCACCTTTTCCCCATCCTTGTCTGGAAGCACTTTTTAATTGCTCAGTGTTTGCATTAAAATGTTAGTCAAGCCATCGGCCGATTGATCTTTTGACGAATAAACCATTGCCAACAAAAGTTCTTTGATCTCTCCATCATTGATTAGCCGCACCGAAATCGCAGACTGCCCAACATTACTGAAGTCACTAGTGTCATCCATCATAACGGACAGAAACGTAGAATTTTCGATCTGCTTTTCAATTTCAGCTCTGACTTCCTGATACATACACTCAATCAGATCATTCTGCAGGTCATGGGACGTGTAGGTAATTTGTTCGTTGTCGCTAAATTCTCGTAGTTCATTACACCAGGATCCTATAAGGTCTAATAATTCGACAAAGTTACCCCTATTTGATGAAGATTTTGATTCATCGTGCGCTCGAAATGCCAAACATTGTGCTGACAAAATAATGCAATGTTAATATGGTGCTGAAGTATGTGTGTATATTTTGTGGCCTTGTGGTTATGCTTGGCAATTGATCTGTCTCTTGCTTCATCTAGTGCACATGCTACGTCAGTATTACCAAGCAAATTGGGAGCGGTGTGGTTCATAATGTGAAGCTTAGGTGTGGTGCCTATCTGTTATGTTAGCAAGGCTTCCTCCAGTTGATTGATATCCAGCCTCTTGAACAAAACACACCTTTTGCATCATAAAAAATTAAAAATGGTTAAGAGAGTGTATTTAAGAAATGAAGAAAGTATATTTGATTGGAAGCAACATGAAAAATGACACATCAACAGAGACAAATGTGACAACCACTTTAAGTCAGTTGAAAAAAATGTAGTTTTAAATCAAAATCGAAACTTCAGTATTCAGATTGTGTTGTCCCGGTTTTATTTCCTACAAAATGCATGTCCCAATGTTTTGTAATTCAAGTTTTTCTTGCTTGATGTCATCATACAGTTTTTGTAATGACTGCAATTGTTATTTCAGTTGTACATTTTCTAGCTTTAGCTGATCTATTTCTGAATGTTCTTGGGGTAGTTCATTTTGGTCCTCCATAAAGAAATCACCAATATTCATTGACCATGACTCAGTCACACTTTCAGAAGATTCCATAACAGGGAGTGCTCTCAGGGTGGGAGATTTTCGTTTACTTTTGTTAGTCTCTTTCGGTTTGTTTGAAAAGATTGAAGGGACTCTTCCTATTATGAGCTTTTTGCGACCAATGCCATGAGTAACCCGAATGTCTTCTGCTTTGAAATGAAATTCACAAACATAGTATGATTTGTTTCTAGGGTCAAAAGTGTCATCCCCTCCTTTTCTTTAAACATTTTGTAAAATCCTTATCCAATGAGTTTTATCAGGTTCTTTACTGGGAATTTGGAACAACGAAATTCCTGTGTTTTGCTTTGAAGAATCTTTATTAGCAGTTCTACAACCTGGTACACAACAGTATTTCCCACTTCCACGAGACAAATTTTGCGAAGGGCGAGTTTTGCTTGAACTAAAATATCTTTCTTCGGCCATGTTTGACTCGCGCTCCGGTTTGTTTATAATTTACTATACCCCATCTTGTTTTCGCCCACTTCTAAACATTACATCATAGGTTTTGGGAAAGGTCTATTCCTCAGAGAAAATTAATTTCTCTGCCCTTTTGGCACTTCTAGCCCATTCTCTGAATTTTCAAAGCCAGATTATTTACGGCCTAGATTGTGCAACTTTTAATCGTTGAAAAACCAGCACCCCCTGGTCTGTGTTTAGTCTTTTGCAAACTAACTATAGAAAATCAATTAATAGGTTTGAGCAACCTGCAATTTTAAACAACCAATTGGCTTCTGATATCGTGGGGGCTCACTTTTGGTGGCAGCCCCCCCCCCCCATTTTGTAAAACGTATTTCAAATTTTCATTTAGGCAGGTGGAAGAAGCATGTTGTAGTTGTTGTGTAGAAATGGCGAACGGCAGTCACAACAGAAATGAAGCGATTTCTTTTGAAATTTGCAAAACAAAATAAATAAAAGCGTGTGTAATGAGGTGAGGCCTATATTTTATTTCTTAAGCTTGATGCAAGAGATCAAGTTATGGGCGTGACATCAGCCCCACCCAAAAATGAGCACCTCTCAAATGTTTTTCTGGATCCGCCCCTGAAGAGAGCTGTTTAAGAACACCATTGTAAATTCCAGTGTTCACACCTGCTCCATCAGATGTTGCTGAGACCATTTTTGTTACATATGCCTTGGCTTCGAGCTTGATCACCCCATTTTTTT